CGCCTGCTCAAGTGGCTGGCGGTCGCCGACGTCTTTGTCATGCTCGAGTACGTGCCCTTCGCAGTTTATCGCTACCTCGTAAGTTTATTTACACTAACTGGATCCTACGACATCGTTTGTGTAGAATTTTATTTATATAGGATTTCATAACGATCGTACTGTTGCCAGTGTTAAAACCAAACTATAATGATAATGCTAACGCTAATTTAATTATAATGCTTATCGGCTATTATACGCTTATAAACTAACATATTTGATTGATTGACTATGAATTGAATATATGAAGATTGGAAAGCTAGAAAGGGATTATTCCCAACTGTCACCTCGCTCTATCCCCACGTGGGAACAGATGAGAATAAAAAGTTACATCCGTCCCACTTTTTACGACGAGGGGATATTTGGAACTTCTTTTATTTCATAATGGTTATATCTGTCTTCTTATTGGTGATAGTGGGACTAAAATGTGGGATGGATGAAACTTTTTATGCTCATCTGGGGACAGGACGGGGTGACGGTGGGGAATAATCCCTAAAAAGGTAGAGAAAGATCGAAGAAAGCATGGATGGATTGTGTGAAAGAGGATATGCTTAAGAAGGGCATACTGTGCCGACCCTCCGTAGGGACTAAGGCAAGTTAATGATGATGAAAATAATGTTTTTGTCAAAAACGTCATGTTTGTCGTTTTATTTATTGTAGCTTTGTAATTTTAGGAAATAAGAATGCTTTAGTCATTGCGTAGTTAAGCCCTGGACAATCTGGTCGCTGTGATTTATTTTATCTATTCGATAATCTTATATCATATTTATCTACTCACGGATACAATCGATTATGTTTATCATAGGAACGGTATCTTTCTAATATTGTAAACGTGGGATGGGCAGATTGATGAATGTATAATTTATGGAGATATTTATCAAAACACTACATATTATGATTACATTTTAACTATGTGAAAGGTTGTTTTGTTAATGTATTCAAGTACTTATATGAAGTACAGACTAAAGAAAACTAACAAAAGTAAAAGGAAAGCTTCGCTTTTTGTAATAAGAAAGTTTTAAAACAACTGAAGCTTAATATTATGCATCGCACGACTTATAGAAGCAAAACTTAAAACGGAACTGACTCGAGTTTATCTAGAAATCAAAATCAATACTCGTGGAGTCACATATCACAATAGATTCGAAACTAATTGCTAAGGTATCCGATTGTCACGTAATATTACTGGATTTAAGTCTTTATTATCACAAAGCAAATGAACTTAACTTTCTAAGGCGCTTTGACAGCTCAACATCGAATTAATGAGAATTTCCTTTGAGCAAGCGTTATGAAGGAATATTTGAGTTAGGATTGAAGTGAAGTCGACAAAACGGATTGCCTTTTATTCCCTCCCAAAAACATGCGGAATAAGACAATTAATTTCACTCAATATGATTCGTCTTAAATCAATTCCTATGTTGTTTAAGATTATATTGGTGGTATGTTGTTTCTTATAATTTTATTAACCATGGAATAAATAAAAAAATAAAAATAAATAAAATCAGCAAAACTATGTAAAATACTTGACGAGTTTCTTGTAACAGTTATAACATATAACAAAAGCTTTGCTAGCCTATATGCTACAAGAAAATGAAATCATATGATTGAACAACGAAATAATAAACGTGCCAACGCCCGTACCTATCTCAAGCACTTCAATATAGGAAAGGGATATCATTGATCGTATTTGTAATTGTGTGTTGGAGATATTGCCGGTCCAGCGCGAGATGCCGTACAAGTGGGCAGCGTACCTACTCTTCCACATGCACTTCGCGCAGATCTTCCACACGGCCTCCATCTGTCTCACGCTATCGCTGGCTGTCTGGAGATATGTCGCCATAAAGTGAGTATACCCCCGTATCTTTTAGCAATGTCTTCATTCAATTTTCATTTAAATAAAGATTAATAAACGTGATGATTCTGTAATTTGTAATGTACAAGCTTTCGCCCGCGACTTGGTCCACGGGGAATAAAAAATACAAACCTGAGTAGCCTAAGTGTTCTTCCAGACTATCCTCTACATCTATACCAAATATCATCGAGATCCGTTCAGCCGTTTACGCTACAAAATCTAACATCCATCCAACCATCCATTCATCCATCCATCCAACCATCCATCCATCCATCCATCCAACCATCTAAACTTTCGCATTTATAATATTAGTATATGGTTTGTTTGTATAATCGTTATACATTTACTTAAAAGGTCAAATTAAAAATAATAAAACTGCTTTCCAGATATTCTGACAAAAATCACATTCTGTGTACGGAAAGACGTTGCAGTGTGGCGATATTGAGCAGTTTCGTCTTGCCGCCGATCCTTTGCATACCTACATTCCTGGTGAGTATGGAAAAAGTTTGATTTTCTAAATAAAAAACATCCAATTCTATTTAAAGAACAAAAGAAGATTTGAAATGATAAACAAAGACGTACAAAATATATTAGTTACTACATAAAGAAATCTTAACAGATTAATTTTCTACGAAGCTCCTTCTTTAAAAAGTCTTAAGCTGAGTTTTGCAAAACTAGGTAACTTTAATCTAGAGTGAAAAGTTAGGTGAAACATGCACAAAATGCGGCGCGTCTATCGTGTAAAATGTAATTTTATAATAATTACATTTTGAAATTAAGCAAAACCGGGCAATGTTTTCAAGACACTCTATTTTTTTTAACTGTTTTATCCAGGTATTTGACATCCACACTGCAATGGTCATAGAACCCAGTGGACCCATGATCTTGTACCACGTGGACGCTGATCAGGAGGGAATGCTGTATTTGATAAACTTCTGGGTGCATGCTGTAGTCATCAAATTGTTGCCCTGTTGCATACTGACGGTCATCAGCCTTTGGTTGATACTCGAAGTGTACCGCGCCAATGAACACCAAAAGAAAATAAGAGTTTATGACACATGTCCTACAAATAAAACAGGGAAGCGTCAGAACAAAGCTAACAAACGAGCAAATAGAACGACCAAGATGTTGGTGGCGGTACTTGTACTATTTTTGGTGACGGAGTTGCCTCAGGGTATACTGGGGCTTTTAAGCGGTGTACTGGGACGGTGCTTCTTCAAGGGATGCTACGATTTATTTGGCGAGCTAATGGACGCGTTGGCGCTGCTTAACGGAGCGATCAACTTCATCCTGTACTGTTCCATGTCCCGCCAGTTCCGGATGACATTTCGCCAACTCATGTGGCGCGTGCAGTTGCACACGTGGCCCACCCCGCCCGCATCCAATTCCGATGGTCTCAATACGTAAGTTTTTTTTTCTTGCAACAAGATTTACCGCAATCAATATTAGATCCTTAAAATCGATCCTGAAATAATTTACATTACTTTTTGTAACACGGAGAACAAACATTTTATCGCCTTGTAAATAATAGACATGTCCTTTTTATTTTGCATCGTTTACATTTGAAGCTAATAGATTGAAGTGTTACTTAATTAAAGAATCCGAGTTTTCTGCTCTTTACGATGAACCAACCTTGTAATTTTTTTTATTAACTCGAATGTAATGAAAACATTATAACAATTTTTTTTGTTAACAAGCAAGGATTACTGAAATATTTTTTATTAAAACAGACAATAAAAAAAGTTATTAAATAATTATAAATGTATAAATAGTACTCAGATGTGGCTGCGAAACATTTAAAAGACTTAAACCATTAAGAACTTGGTTTAATAAATGCTCAGGGTTTAATATTATTTAACTATTTTTATTACACTAGCTGTTGCTCGCGACTTCGCCCGCGTGAAAATATGTGGCCGACATTTTTTCTACTAACCTATGTAACTCACAGATTCTTTCACCTTTCTAATGGTGAAAGATTCTTGAAAAGGGCCCAGTAGTTTTTACGTGAATCGAATACATACAAAAATACAAATCTTTCCTTAATAATATAATATTAGTATAGATATAGAATAATACATTAAGTGGTTGTTAAAGCACAAGGATACTATTGTTTTCTTTTTTTGTTATTTTCAGAGCAAAGACATCGGTTCCGTGAGGAAGGATTGCTAAGAATAAGGAAGAAATTGTAATGCAACATTTTGTATAAAGTTAATAGAATTAAGAGAACGGAAAGAAAATATCCGAATCCGACAATGTCTTTTTCGATTTGGCAGAAAAGGGATGTATAGGAGACAGTATGTCCTTTTTCTGTACGTCCTTTCCTCTATTCATTAAATATTAGTATCTGTTAACTTTTTGCAGATATTGCTTGTACTTGCAGATGATGTTGCAGACGTGCTTGTTTGCCACTTTGTACAATGAAAACATGTTAAACAAATGGTATTTCTAACAAATTTATCACATGACGTATTTGTTATAATGTATACGTAACGTTATCTTAATACCACATTCAATGTCATAAAAATATGTTAAAACCTGCTCTAGGGTAGTATTTAAAAAAACGTAAAAGGACTAAATGCGGTAGTTAGCATTTCTACATACGATCTCCCATTAAACATATCACGAGATAATTAAATGTTACGTAAAAATAATTGTTGTTTTAATTAGATTTAAGAATCAGTTAGCATAACCTTCTAGTCTTTATAAATATAATCAAGGGAGATATATTTAATCCAAATCTTCAATCTGAATTTGATAAATTAATTTTGAAATATAAATTTACAATTTTAATAATTAATAATTTAAATCTAAGGCCGTTGTCTTTAATGGAATGGTTATCTAATAAATTATTAAAGGATATTGGATTAAATAGATGTATTAATAATGATTTAATTTATAAATCTAGTCTTAGCTATTGTATTTACATTCTTCATGTTAAATATCAAATAAACAGAAAAAAATAACATAGTTTTTTCTTTTGTTCTTCATTCCCTTATTTATTAGACGTAATGTAAAAAAAAAATCGTATAAAGCCTAGATCGAGATTATAACATATCGTTTACGACTTTGGGCCTAAACTGTTCTGGCATCAGAACTACAGAGTGGGAAAGGAAAGAGTTTTTGGCAGGGGCGGGGACGTGTGCAAGGGGAAATATCCTCTTTCTGTACGTGTCTTTATCTCTCCTTTTTATATAATAAAACGAGGGCAAAGGAACGGCGAGAACACCGAGGTGGTCAACGACGCCAGGGTCACCAGGTCAACAACATAGGAACTACAGATGCATTGCCGACCTTTGAGGAAGTGATATGCTCGCTTCTTTAAAGGCTGGCAACGCATCTGCTTAGCATTTATTACAAATGGTATTTATAGAAGGTTTAATCTGTTTAATCTTCCTGGATTAAGTTCATGAGCTGTTTACTTTATTGGTAACGACACTGAGTAATAGTGTGGCAATGGCGGAAATTCAATTATGTTTAGTCGCGGTGGCGTTTTCGAAGCAGCGTTAAGCGAATTTATTTCTGCGTAGGCGTGACAGTGCCATCTTCTCGAGCTTTGTAATATTTATTACTTTAGTAAAGTCCGACAAAATAATCTGGCCTGCTGAGATCACGGTGTTCGTTCTGTTAGAAAATACTACCTTTCGCCCGCGACTGCTTACTCGTGGAGTTAAAAAAGTAAGTAGCCTATGTGTTTTCCGGACTATCCTCTACATCTATGCCAAATCGAAATCCGTTGAGCTGTTTAGTCTACAAACTCTAATAAAGATCCATCCATCCAACAAACACAGAATGCGCGAGGCTTCCTTTTGAAGAGTTGTAAATAGTACTAACTAAATTTAAGGATGACTTACATTAAATTTACAGTCGTTGTGTACAACACCAACCTACAACTTTGTGAGCACAAACTAGTTTAGTTCTATCGATGGTATATTAATTTCATAATTGGTTCTGGCGTGTTCAAATACTCTCGCTATTTTAAAATGACTTTGTCGTGTCGTTCAACATTAACCTTTCGTAGATCTTGTTTCTAAATGATTTAATTCATTTAAAAGTCGTTTTAACTATCTCGTGTAATGACCATTGTGGACAGAGTAATTAAGCAAATAAGCAAATTTCGTTGATATACCGTAACTTCATATTTCTATTAAATCATACATTACCTTTTACACAAAAAAAAAATCGTACCCAGAAATTAATTTTGTAACTTTTATTCTCACATGAAAAGTAACAGATTTTTTTTCCTTATAAAGGAAAATGTTCATTTTTTTCATATAATAATGTAATAATATTGGACGCCCGAAGGGTTACTTATTGTTTTTTCTTTGTATAGATGTTTGTATAAATTGATTACAATAAATAAATAAATGATAATGGAAATTAATGTTTTTCACAATACTTTGTACTTTTCTAAAAATATTCTCTTTCCTTTACTTTGAAATCGGAAAACCTTTATGAATACATCGCATTCAATCTAATGACGACATATTTATTATTGTAGGATACGGTAAGGTGATACGAGACAAAGTGCTTTCTAGTCTCAATTATTTACTTGTCTTTCAGAACGCGTTCATTTATTTACCTATAACTATAACTTGTTCTTACAGTAGCGTGAACAATATCTAATTGAGTAATTCTTGCGTAATTTAAACAATCATTTTTTTTTTAATTCTTTCTTCATTCAAGAAATCTATGACGATTACCTTAGTGTAGTTAAATCAAGTGCAATAAGGACGTCGAAATTGTTTAAAATTTTTCGACTATTTTCATGAAACGTCGGATCATATCATATTCGTAGTTTACCCTGAATAAAATTCCATTTTCTAGGAATGGAGATTTAAATTTCACTCAAAGCCGTGTGCGTTTAGCGATGTGTGAAATCGGAATAAGTTGTCCCGTCTGTATGAATGTAATATCCTACAAGCGTTTAAGAAATTTTCATATACATACTCGTAAGTGATTGTAAGTGTAACTGAAATATTACTTCATAGTGTTTAAACCGAAATATATGATGCAAATAAATACTCTGAGACGTTATATATTTAATATGACATACAAAAATGAAAAAAGGTAAACAAAACAAATCACTTCCAGGAGAATCCTGCTGGTTATGGCATATGTTGCCTCCGCAATACATGCATTTGCATCCTCTCATCGGTGATTTCAAGTTATTTCCACACATGATTTTTCACGAAGAGGTGAACGAACTAAATTAACTACCGCTTCTGAATAAAATTTATGTTGTTAAAGGAAAGATTCAATCAGCCAGGTACAAAATCGAGCACGTTACAAATAACATTCGAATCACGAAGGACTTCACCATTCCGAGCACGCATCGATTTACATTTAATTCAATTTAGTGAACACAGAGTAGAATTTTTCATCAGTGTTTCTGGTAAGTGAAACAATACCCATTGGAGTAAAGCACGCAAATTGTCAGCAACTAGTGTTATCTTTATGTTTTTGGATTCGAAAATAGCTCTATAGAGTCCCAAACAATATAAAGCTTAGAAGTGGAAAGTTACCGAACTGATTCAAAGAAAAAACGACGATTTAACAGTCCTTTAAGGCCAATGGCCGTTTATTTTGATAAAAAGAAAACATTAAAATTAAATTAATTATTTGAAGGCAACAACGCTTAATTAAAATTCAACAAGCGCTTCGGTGTGTTCTCTATTTTCAAAGAAACGAGTTGTTAATAATTTAAAAAAAAAAAACTTAATGCTTTGATTACGAAATAATTAAAAGTTGTAAAACCAGAAAAATGAATTTATTTTGAATTTCACCCCTACCTTTAAATAAGATCTTGGAGAATATATACATATATGAGCTCATGAGGATATATTCAATATTACATTAATAGTACTCTTTAGCGAGTTCGGAGTATGAAACAAGCAATTATTGAACATTAATGTAATAAAAAAACACATAAAGGCGACATTAGTTCGTTAACTGAAGGTTTTAAAAATTCTTTGTTTACTTTCTTTTAGATCATAAAAATGTTCAATCTTTAAGTCTAAATATAGCCCTAAATTGCTTCAATAACGACGATTGATTTAGCAATAAAAGTACACTAAATATTTGGCTCGTAATTCCTTTAGGGTTAATAAACAATTCAAGTAAAGCCGCACCAAATGGCTTATAAATCGCTCTAATACAATAAAATGAACACACAAAGGAGAGGACCGTCAGTTATGCCAACATCAAACATTGATTTTGGTACATACTGTTTCTGGAATTAATAGGCTATTTATCAATCTCTATAATATGCCCTCGTGCCAAATACTTAGTTCTGTGTTTGGATTGTTGATTCGATGTAAGAATTTAGGATTCTTTGGGCGGTTATTATTTTTGAATCGGGTCCTTCTTGTTGTCTAGTGATAGCTTTAGTCTGAGGACACATCTTTTGTGTGAGGATTCTATTTCTTGGTACTCCTTCTTCATTGGTTTTTTTTTAAATAAACCCTAAGAAGAAGTTCTTTAAAACTTTGAAAAGTATGAAGCAGAACGCTGTATTCTAACCCTACGTTCGTTTGGTACAAATCTCATGTAATGTAAAATTCAAACATGTTTTACATACATTTTTACTGACTGTGGGATATTATCATGTCTTTTTGTATCACTCTCTTTTATTTTTTTAAATTTCTAGCTCTCAAGCCGTGGTCACGAAACTTGCGATGTGAGGCCCGGTGCAGCGGGCAGTTCGGGCACAATGGGCACAATGATGTATTGAATGTCTATGTAGAAGTATTTGATTATGAACGTATATAGTTTGTAATCAATATTACAAGGAGTGTTTACCACAGGGTACAGAAGCCAATTTAAATTTTCTTGTGACAAATGTAGCTACAATAATATACAACATATTATTATGTGACTTGTATTTAGTAAAATTTTGTTTGTCTGTCCTCAAATCCGCGTTTGCTGAGGTATGTGGTAGTAGCTTAGTATATTTGTTTTTAAATTCCGCGCAGACGATGTCGCAGGCAACAGCTACTTATGTATCTACGGACAGCGATGACGTTGCTCCTCAAGTAAACCTTATGACTATAAAATATATTTTCAAGTCGATTCTCTTAATCTTCTGTCTCTAAGTCACTTGTATGTTTTTAATAGAGATTTTCTTTTATACCTGACAGAACAAAAAACTATAATATACGCACAAAATAATTAGTTCGTTATTTCGTGAAAGAATTAGGAAAATTTTGCTTATAAATTAAATTTAACGTGAATAACAAGCTTGTTTAGTCTGTCTTGTTATGCATATTTTATACAAAAAAAAAGTCATATCGCGTAGAAAAATCTTTTGTGAACTGTCCAATTATTCAGATAAATCTAACAAAACTGGAATCTGTTTAGTTCTAAGTTTTCTTTACACACGTTAGATTTATCTGAACTATCCGAGTATTTGGCTTAAATTTAGCGAGCGTAACAGGAACTATTTTATTTACGTAGGCGTAAAAAAATAAATAATGCATTATTCATGCATTGATTAACATATTTTTTTATACTAAAACTGCTTAATTTAACCTTTGCATCTTAATCTTTTTGTATTAAATTAGTTTCTAGTTTAATTTTAATTATTACACTAAATATATCTAATAGAATTTGAAATACAATCTGCGGTGCAATTGATTAAAGCAAATAATATGTTGGAACAGCACTGGAGACGTTGTAATTTAAACCCTATGCTGTAACTTATAAATCACATTTCTCTACGAAAGCGTCAGATATTCAAACAGACTCTTTGAAGTTGCAAGTATCTATGCATATGAAAGAAGATATGAGATTAGTTTTACGATTGATATTGATTATATCGTACAATTGTTTTATATACAAAAATAATGGATTAAATTCGCAAAACTAAACAACAATATATGAGGAGAAAAATTTGATCACTCCCTTAAGAGAGGGCTTGACTAATGTATCGCATAACTGTTGTGCGATTGTCGATTGTTTCGCAGCCAATTCAACTGTTTAGTCGAAAGTGTGCGCACCTCCTTATAAACTCATACAAATTAAAGCGCGGCTGAACAATTATGCGATAGTTTAGTAAAACGTATAAGCGTGCTCTTATAAAGGTTTTAATTATTTACTTCACAAAAACATTTTGATAAACACTTTCGTTTGTTTGTTTTTATTCTGTCCAAACAAAATTTGACTGAACATTTTTATTAAAAGATGTTTAAACTAGGTTTTTCAAGGACAATTTTTAAAAAGATATGTCCTTATATTAGTTTGCAGTACTTAACCAAAACATAACTTTATACATATATCATGGACCCACTTGCATATGCTGTGATGTTAATATTATTAAATAGGAAGAATATCAGACGGACAAAATTGCTATTTCAGTAATATCTTTTGATACGGTATGGTAATAAGCTACAAAATTTGCATTAAAAACTAGTTCTATAGGTTATGTTGGTAAGTATATTTATATGTTAAAAATCATTATGAATTGAAGAATGTTTTGATATTAAATGATTCTTGGAATTGAAATAAAATAACAAGAATAAAATGAACGATTCATTGTAAGTTTTTAATTATTAAGTTTTAATTGTAAGTAATTATGTACTTCGACCTTAATATGTAATTATTTTGATGGTATATAAGCTGATGTGTCTTAAATATTTCTGTAGTTTGAATCAAGTAGTAATAGGAAGTAAACGTTAGGTGAGTTTAATATTCATTTTTGGTTCTTCGTTAAGGGATTTTTATATTCCATAGATTTATATTTACTTTGTTGAGAGTTGTTGTAAAGAAAGAATGATTCGAATTATCTTCACAATTTTTGTTCCTACCTCTTATCTCATAAGGCGGTCCAGTCGCCTTTCGTAAATAGACTTCCACTTCGCTGTCTTTCGACATCTTTTAGAACTACCTACTAGAAAGTTATGCAGAGGAATTCATAAAACTTATTCAAAACATTTCGTTTTACTTTTTCTTATTTATAATGCACTAGCTGTGAATAGCGGCTCCGTCCGTGCGTAGTTAAAAAATAAAACTTTTAATTTTGCCTATACGTTTTTCCAGATCTCTACATGTGTGAAAATTTCATAATGATGCATTGAGCCGTTCTGGGATACCTTCTAACAAAGTCAATCTATCTATCAAAAGATTTGCATTTTTACGTACTATCCAGATAATTGTAAATCAATGTAGTTAGTACGGTATAATTATAAATACGCGCAACATATTTCGTTGAACATTTATTAATGTTAACAAAAGTTATAATTCGTTTTTTTACAATCAGTCTTCAAACAACAACGATGTGTAATGAGTAGTTTCAAAGTTATGAGACATAATTATCGTTTTAATAAAATAAGCAATTACGGAATGATATTGCAAAGAACAATTAGTTGAGTACCTTAATGAGTAAAGCTATTTAACAATTAAAATGAAAACATATTCATAAATTTAGACATGCATTTTAGCTTTTCTGTTTTAACATTAAATAGCAACTATTTATACTGTTAGTTATCTTTTATTTGATTGCAACTGTAAAATTTTTCTTCATTTTTGTACATTTATCATAGCTATATTATATACACCATATTATTCAAAGGATCCAATCGTCAAGGTGTCGGTTTCACTCCATTTTGATTAGCTGTAGTCTAAGCACGCACACCTAAAACTAAACTAGTTATATCATAACTGTTTTGTCTCGCTTTGATTACTATGAGTTTATATGAGGTAAAGTACTCCATTTCTAGTTGTGCAACTAAACAATCGCACAACAGTTGTGCAATAGTTTAGTCAAAGGTGTGCACCAGTACTAACACCACTTTGAAGATCTGAAAAAAAATTACATAGACTCGGTTCAAAGATACACCCGTCGCCACTGACAACTGTCGCGCTAGTATAAGTAAAAGCAGTAGTATAATTGTTTAAAAAAAACGGAACTCACTAATGATATACGGATTATGCAACAAAAATAAAAAATAAAACAAACTGTGCAAAAAAGAGTACGGACCAAGAGTCTGTAGAAGTTGAAAATAAAAAATTAAAAAAAAAACACCACTTTGAATGAATTTGAAGTTACGTTCTACAAGTTATAGGTAGTTTTTTTATGCCTTGTCTTTTTTAGTCTCACCTAGAATCTACGAACGGTATATTTCCCTTACCTATACATTTTCTCGTAAAACTATCCCCCTTATTAAAAAAGATTTGGAAGACAAAGGCTTAAAAAACATGGAATTGCTTTGTGATATTGCACCGGTCGAAGGACCTTAGCACAGCATTTATATACTTCTGAGTTTACCACTGTTACTTAAGTAGTGTTAATTCGACACCATGTTTTTTTCCAGTCATGAAGTTGTTGGTTGTGCTAGCCCTGTTAGCTGTAGCCTTCGCGCGCCCTGACGACGGATTTTACGACACTAAATATGAGTCCTTTGACGTAAAAGAACTCATTGGCAACATTCGCCTATTGAAAGCCTACGTCCTGTGTTTCCAGTCGAAAGGAAAATGTACACCGGAGGGAACGGACATTAAAAGTTAGTATTGTGATGACATTTAACTATATAGTTATATGGAATAAATAGAATGCCAATAGCATCGAAGAAGAATGTTTGTGGAACTCTATACCTCTTCTAACTTCTTTGTAAGCCATTCTCAATAAAAGACTTATATTTCAGTTATATGCAATATTACTCGTATATACTACTACTAGCACAATTTAGAAGGTCCATTAAAGTACATAACAACATTAAATTAGTTAGGTCTTGTAAAAGAAAATACAGTGTAAACTTGTCCCTTAGAAACCTTCGTTAAGTTCAACAGATAAACAGTTCATTCATTTCTTCTTTATTTTTTACAGAGTGGATTCCAGAAGCACTAGACTCTGAATGCGCCAAATGCACTGAGAAACAAAAGTCACTCGTCGCCGAAGTACTGAAGGCCATCATGGAGCTACTTCCCGCGGAGTGGGAGGAGTTGGTTAAAATCTACAACGCCAATGGACAAAGTCTTGAAGTTCTTGCAGCATTCATTAACAAATACGCCCCAAAATAAAGATGTTTCCAAGTAAATAACAAATACAATATTTCTCAACTCAAGAATAAAATGATTTAATTACATTTTTTGCATAGATTTATACCCATTAGATACTTAACCTAACTTGAAGCACAAAAGTGAGACGAAAAAGGCCTTCAAGTGAAATTCCTAAAATTTGGATAACTACAGAATAACATTTCTAAAATCATCGCAACATTAGCCGTCAAAATTTTTTAACACTCCATCTATAACTAATTGACATTGTTAATTGACAACGATTGGTTAATACAGTTAGATACGAAATAGAGGTTGTAGTAAGTGTGTACTTTAAATGCAATATTTTGGTTCATTTGGAAGAGGTGTTAGTGACAAGGCGATGTCAAGGAGCACTTTCCAGTCACGTCTTGGCCACTCCAATTTACTCTCCACAGTGAAATAATCACCACTCGTTGCCGTACCTTGAATCAACAAAGTTTATACTGTCTCTAAAGTGCTTTATAATGAGTTCGAGAGAAGGCAAAGGACTTGAAACGTTATATATTCTAAACACATTTTTGAAATCTAAATAATAAATTTTAGTGTAAAATGAATCATACAATGTTAATACGTGAGTTTTTTTTTCTATAAATTATTACTTTTGCTTCGTTTCGCCGTGTTTATTGAAAATCCGGACATTAAATTGTTAACATCATTAGTATTTCAATCTTTAGAGATATAAACATCTATAGATTGAACCCTCGCCACGACCACACAGACCCCTTCAGTGGGTACGTGTAGTGAGCTGGTGACGATATTATTTAAAGCTATGTTTACTTGGAAATTTACCAGACACAATGTTCATTATAAATAATTTATAAGTCACGGTGAATGGGTTAGAGATAAAAAGTGCAGAATAAAACAAAGCTATAAAATTAACATAAAGCGACGCGCGTACAAACGCACCATTAAATTCTTAATATCCTAAAGTCTATTAAAAAAGTTGTGATTTCACTTTTCATAAATAATTCCTTTTATATAAGTAGGTTCGTTTATAGCTGCAAATAAGGAAACCACTTTACTAAAATAATTTAAAAGAACTATTCAAAAATATAAAATCTGACACTAGAAACACCAACTTAGTCTGAGACAGAGTACACGAGGGTATAAGATTAAGGCAGAGCAGTACAGTCCAGTATTACAAATGGACGTATTCGCCGATAACAGTATCTACTCTGCCCCACAGTTCTGCCTTCCTGTGAAAGTCGCATAATCTCAAATTTAGCTGAATATTTCGATTATGTCAGTTAGCTTTATCATTGATGTTAAGCTTAGAGCAAGCACCGTCTAATTAAGATACGGTAGAAGCCGAGTAGGATAATTGTGTTCTTGTCTTGTCAGCAAGATAACTTAGTAAGCAGGTAGGCAAAGTAAGAAGAATAGACAATTTTCTTAAAACCTATTAAGCTTAGAATTATTTATTAAATAAAAACATTACATTTCCATTTTTAATTTAAATATCTCACTTCTAGTTTTTGTAACACAAAACATTATAGCTCTCAGTTTTAATTTTAAAAGATTGTAGACGAAAAATGTTAAGGAAGTTGCCGCTGTCCCAATTGTTTGTCCTTTTTGTACCTGAGTTTGGCGTGTTTGTTCGTTATGTCACAACTCGCCCTCGGGAGACGAAAATATGTGTTTACGTTCGTAAATTATGCTAAATACACAATGGCATCGGTTTTTTCGAAATTTTCCTTTTGTTTTACTTTACACATTTTATGAAAACTTGTATTTAATAGAAATAATTTTAAGGAATTGACAAACGAGCAAATTTTTACATAGTTGTTCAACTAGCTGGGGAACAGTTAGCTCGTGACTTCTCATAGAGCCATCAATCTATACTAATATTGTAAAGAGGAAAAATTTGATTTTTGTATGTATTGAAAAATCAAAACTACTGGGCCGATTTCAAAAATCCTTTAAACATTAAAAAGCTACGTTATCAGTTACTAACATAGGCCGTTATATTATTGCTAGTAATGGATACGTTGTTTTGCCTGTCTTTGTTCGTATGAAAATATGTTTATTGCAATATCTTCTAAACTACTTAACTAGATGAGAAATCACTGATGTTTCGTATCTAAAATATCCACACTTACTATATATAATAGTATATTTTATAGGTATTATTAATGTAATCGAATGAACTATAGGTCGATTCTACGAGTCATAAATGTAATGTAAGATTTATTTACGTCTGCGTACCTCTTGCATAATCTGTTTCATATTCAAAGCGGTCAAGAAACATATAAATGTATGGAATTTGTAAACATTTCACTAGATTTATTTACTAAATACGGGCTGACATATAAATAACTAGCGATCCGGCCCCGTTTCGCACGGTAGCTATTTATTTTTTAAATAAAAATATTTGTTCCGATTAAAAATGACACAGGAAAACAAACAGTACACATTAAAGGCCCTTATTTTATAATTCATTTTGTCTGAAATGCAGAAGTTTTTTTAATATCTAATATTACTTATGAGCACTTACTCAAGTAACATGACACCCCCTTTTATCTCGGTTGCCTTAGTAACATACCGGGAATAAAAAGTACACAAATAGGTAGAATGTTATTGACATATACATTTCGATTTTGGTTTATCGATATTCTAGAAACTTCTAAAAACAAGTTCTTTTCTACAAACAGAGGACTAAAACTGATTTATTATACTTTTATATGCCTCAAGGTTTCGTTCCTGCTACGCCGTAGCGGCGTAGCTTCATGTTTATTTAACCAACAACTTTTCGTAGAAATTTTAAAATATCAGAGCCAATACTTTCCAAAGATTGTTTAATCAAATAGTATATCCCCTCTCATTTTCTTAAAAAACGGTTTACACGATTGTCACCGAAACATATTTTGTCAAGGTCATTGATTTTCTTATTAGTTACTAGCTCTTTCCTGCGATTTCGCCAGTGTTGATGTTTTTACGCCAAATTAAAGTTTCCTCAAGACCTTTTGCTAATACATAACAAACATCCATCCAACCAAAGTTTCTCATTTATAACATGACTGAATAGTGAATAGATCTTTTTTACACAGGATAAAATGAAGGTCAGGTAAATTGAATACATTTATTATTCAAGAATACACAGTACAAGACAGTAAACAGTATTTCATTAAATTAAAAAACATTATTTTAAACACATATATATGAGATCAATATCTTTATATAGTTTAAAGTGCTTGAAATGAACTTTGAACAATGTTTAATTACAGATATGAAATATAAACACTTAAAATCTTAACATTTACATATGTATATATACATAAAATCTTAATATATACATTCTGTATTACATATTGTTTCTTATGTAAATCTACGCAACACAGTTTATAAAATAATTAATAAATATTTGTTATTACTAGTATATTTTCTAAGAGCTAATTTAAAATAATATTTTCATCAGTATGAACAAAGAGCAGACTCTAGTTGAACAGATAGAAAATTAATTTTAGAGTATAATTTTGGAATCGGTTCATATTTTTAACATTTCTTATATTAGAAAATCTTTACACTTTGTCTTAAATCTAAATAATAATCTAATGATTAATTACTTATTGGACTAGAATTTAATTGTGTTACGTTCATTACTTTTTTTATTTCTATTATGGTACAAATCAAACTTCATAACCTCCAATTGCATATAGAACACCGTGTCTTTAGAACCTCAAATTGTAAGGATTAATGGAAATATTTCTTACTTCACTATTAATATTTATTTTTTATTTCAAATTTCACATAAGGTGGAAGAGTAATTTTAACATACTTTCGAAGTTTATGCCTCTGAAGAAGTTAGTATGTACGTTATAATATAGATAAATCATTAAGATCTAAAAAGAAAAATCTATCGTTGAGCTACATTTCCTTGAAACAAACATAAAATAGTAACCAAATACTCGACCATTACATCCGTTAATAATAGTTTTCGATATCCGGTTTTATCGCTGTATTGAATTGCGGAGAAAACAAATAAATCCAAGCTTTGAAGTAATATCCGGAAACATTTGTTTGAAAAATGAAATTAAATACATTTTGAAATTTAAAAAATCATCACTAAATTTTGTATCTCATGTTACTTTCTACAAAAGATAACACATTTTTCCCGCCAATTACTTCACAATGTTTGTACATTTATTTTATTTTATATGATAACAAAATTACTATCTAATTAAGAAAAATCATCAATATAATCTTTTGTATCAACCAGTTACAAAACATTAAACAAATATAAAACAAACTTATACATTTACGAAAAAACTTTTCCAGTCGGGTGATAAAAACAGTAACATTATTATATCAATACAATATAATCGCATATTTCCTCGTGCGTAAAATCTTTGTCTATAGCCTCATGACGTCACGCGTTTACCGATGCACGCTCAGTAGAGCAGACGAGCTAAGGACGCGGTCGGTGACACTTGTGGGGGAGTAATCGACAAACATTCTTCGCGAGGCTACTAGTTTGAAACACATAACTTGACAATGAAAATCTATAGCTATAAATATCATATATATTTATTTACAAAAGATTTAAAAGCACTGATACATTAAAGTTTTAAACAAAGTATATTACACTCCAATAATTATTAATCTTGTTTCCCACTATCAAATGTTTTTTGAAACACTGTCGCCATAAAATCCTAGCCTCGTATTGTACGTTGCCATGACAACCTTTTGACGTAGTTGTATCGTGATATTTAAATAACACTTCACTGAAATGTTCCTACCTACCTAAGTCTTTGCGACAGTTGACAGTTCTTAAAGGAAATGTTCGCACACAGCGGGAACATTCGCCTGGCGAACCCGACCTCAAGGTACCGACGTCTTTGCTCTGCAACAATAATTGTCTTATTGAAAAAAAAAAGTTAAGAACATAAACTAATTAGGGCGCATTTTATAAAAAGTATAATCGTGTAAATAATTAATGAGATATGTATATTGATAAGGAAGCATTTGTTACAATGTACTGTCCATGGAAAACTTATATACTTACGTAGACAGCTTACGATGTGTTTGCAGAATTATCTTTTTATCTTTTCCGAGCACCTGTTGGAGTAGCAGTTATGAGTGAAACAAAAATAAAACAAAAAATGCAGTGGCGTTTAAAATTTTGAAAACAATAAACAAGTAATAATGAAATGGCTAAGAGAGAAGGATGTATAATGGGAGAGAAGGAGTAATGGGAAACTTACGTGTTTTGGTTGTGGGACTCAGAGTGCGAGGCGGCGGGTGGCAAGAAGCGAGCGAGTGGCCTCTGAAGCAACAGCTGCCGGAACGTCTGCCGGAACTGGCGGGACATCGAGCAGTACAGGATAAAGTTGATAGCACCGTTCACCAGCGCCAACATGTCCATGATCTCTCCAAATAAATTGTAGCATCGCTTGAAGAAGCAAGGGCCGAGCAGTCCGCTCATCAGCCCCATAATACCTTGAGGAAGTTCTGTTACGAGAAACAGTAGCAACACCGCCAGCAACATTTTCGTCGTTCTGTCAGTTCTTTTATCTGCTTTGTGCTGGCGCTTGACCATCTTTTCAGCA